GTCCTCACTACAGGGGTTTTCAAAACTCAGGAAGAAAAGATAACAAAGGGAAAGGCCCCACACACTTCACATTTTCCCTTGTGAGATTTCCTGGAGGTGTTTAAGCTCCCTGGCCCCCAACAGGAAACCGGATACAGCAGCAGAGCAAGAGCGAAGCCTTTGCTTTAATAATTGCCATGAACTTGCTTTCCAAGCCTTTATGGAAAGCCCACCCCACAGTAAATTGCTGGAAGGCCAATCCCTTCACTACCAATTTAATGCTAAGAGCCGATGACGTTCATCAAATCTGACAGCATTTTGGTAAACGACGGCTCTGTTGATTAGGCCGCTGTCCACCCAAGTATTACAAGGCTGAGGGAGCCATAAATCTTAATCCATGGATAGCAGCAGAGAGATCTAAGGCCGAGAAGTGGTGGGGGAAGAAAGGACAGCGCCAACAAAAGCCATCTATCACCACCAGCCCAATCCATGGTGCGGGCGGCCGCACAGATGCCCAGCACAGCGTCACTATTTGCCTCCCTGGTGTCCGCAGAACTGGGGAGTTTGGGAAGGGTTTTACAGGTGGAGCGGTCAGCCTCTCGACCAGCATTCAGATGACTCTCTGACCTTCTAGCTCAGGGAGTCTCTGACCTTCTAGCCCAGGGATGCTCGGGCCAGTGCACCTGCAGCGGCAGTCCCTTCCATCAGGGCTGCTCTACCCAAAAGTGCTTCCTAGTTGTTGGGCATGACCCTCTAAGGGGGGAAATCTGTTCTACTGGAAGAGGCGAAGGTATGGAGCTTGGTCAGTGGAAAGGTTATGCGTGACTCAAGAGAGTTTAGGGGGATGCTCAGAGAAACTGGCAAGAGGACAAGTGGGAGGGTGTTGGGGGATGACAGGGAGGAAGAGATGCTGACTGAGAGCAAGCTGTGACTGCGGGGCTCACTGTGCATAGTGACCACTGTGCCCCCTGCTGACCTGGCCATGGCCAGTGTGAATACACTGAATGACTGTGTGCCTCCACTGGTCCCTCCTGCTGGGCATAGCCGTACAAGATATACCCTAGGACTGGGATGGGGCTGTTGTCCCTCTCCTGATGGGGTGGCTTTTAAGAACTGGCCATTGGGGATTCTGCGGCCTTGACTACTCTACCTGCCCTTGGGTGCCTCCAAGGATGGTGGTACCTGTCCAAAACGATGGGGATAGAGAGGCTACCTTCCTCTTGATCCTACACACCCCAGAATCTCCGTCCCCATGTACTTGAACGAAGACCAGCTGAGAGATTCAAATAGTCTCTCTCGAAAAGTTGCAACAAACGGATACTGAAGGAGTGAAAAACTGTGATGTGGAGAAAGCTGAGGTGAGAGGGGGAAGCAGGGGGAGGGGGCAGGTGTGAGGGTAGGGGCTGGGGAAGGTTGGTAGAGAGAAAAAGGCCTATCAGATTCACCACCACCCCTACTTGTCCTTCTGCACAACTGCTGGGGCTCCAAAGCAGGAGCCCAAACACGTAACTTCCCTGTTGAAACCCCGCCAGGGGATTTCTCACATCTAAAATGAACTCCAAACTGCTTCCTGGGGTCTTCTAGGCCCTATGCCATCCAGTCCCTCTGACCTATGACCCCCCCCACCCCCATCCCCATCCTCTCCACCACCATGAGTGCCAGGAGAGCAGGGCCTGGCCTGCCTCACTCACTGCTCTGACCCCAGTACCTACAAGTGTCCAATAAGTGGTCCCAGAGTGAACAAAGGACTGAATGAGTGCTGGAACACACTAGAATGAAGAGCTGTCCCCTTATGGCAGCCCCCAACCCCCCACCTGGCATCTGATGACAATGGTCACTACCATTTATTGCCGGCTTTCTCGGTGCCGGCCACTGCTTGCAACACTCTACAAACATTGGGGCCCACTCCTTCAATGCTCATTAACTACCCTAAGAGGCAGGTACCATTACCAACCTCACTTACAGATGAGAAAACAGGCACCAAGGGGTTAAACAACGTACCCAGGACCACACAGCTGGTGCACAGTGGTGGAGCCGAGGCTTTGAGCCTAGGCTGCTGGGTTCCTGAGCCTGTGCTCTTAACCATCCAGACTTGCCTGTCACCTGCTACCAGGTGCTCCCACCTGAAGACGCAGACAGCCCCTGCTGATGGACCACCAGTGACACATGTCTACACACATTCCTTCCCAGCAGCCCTGGGAGGTTTTATGAATGATGAGCCCAAAGCTCAGAGAGGTCCCATGGCCAGCTCCAGGGCACACAGCTAGTAAATTGTTTGTCTGACTCCAAAGCCCATTCCCTTCAACTCTCCGGAGGGAAGGGATTGCAGGGACTACGGCAAACAGGAGGGCTGAGCACTGTCTAAAGGGGGGCGGCTACTCGGCTCCCACTGGTGGCTGCCTTGTGGGCAGGCGGCCCAGCCTGGGGGCCAGATCTTTCCATTCTTCCATGGAAATAGGAATCTAGCTTTAAAAAAAAAAATATATATATATATATATATAATCTTTTAAATTTAAATATTAGCAAGTGACTAAGTCTTTTTTAATACTGTGCAAGTCCAAAAAACATTATCTGGGGGGGGCATGTTCAGCCCAGAGGCTTCAAGCTGTAAATCTCTGCAGTCCAGCAGGCTGGTCCTCCGGATGTCGGGAACAGCTGTCGCAGCTTCCTCCCGGGATAAGCAGTTCCCGTGTCATCACAGTGGGAGCTTCCAAGGCAGGAACTGAACCTTATTTGATTTGGGGTTTTTAACCCCAGAGCCTCGCAGAGTGCCTGGCCCAGGGTAATACACGTGTTTTAAATTAGTGGATGTTTTCTTTGGTGACATGGCTCCCAGTCCACTCACCACTTCTGAAGGTTTGGAAGGTTTGTCTCTATCTCTGAGGAGCGGTTCCCAAAGGACCACGTGTGGGTGGAGCAGAGTTGATGTGATGGTGGGGGTTGGGTTGGCTCCCAGCACCCAGTCTGCTCTCCTCCGAGGGTGCCTTTCTGCTCAGCAGAGGCTGGAAAGCCAGACACTGCGCTTCCCAGACTCCCCTTCAGCTGGGGTCTGGGGTCTGGCTCTGACTTAAGTGTGGCTGATCAGATGACCCCATAGAGGGCCGGGAAAGGGGAAGTGAGGTGGAGAGGAGGGGGCACATGCGGGCTGTTTCTGTGCTAAGCACGTGGCAGAGGCCATGAGTGTTCTCAGCAATGTCCCACCCCAGATGGACGAGACACGGGGCAAGGTCTTTCTTCAAAGCGTCACTCTCACGGGCAGTGTGTCACCCGGAGGCCAACAGTTGTGGCACTGGCTTCCTGGATCACAGCTAAGGTGACACACTCCTGATGCTGATCCCCCACCTTCCCTCCTGTGTCCTGAGGAGCAGCTTTCTGGCAGGCCTGTGTTGGATGCTGGGTGCCATTCCTGGAGGCCGGGCTCAGAGCCCATCCTCCCGCCAAGGGTTCTGTCAGCATCTGATTCTCTGCATTCCATTCGTTTATGATTAAAATAGCCCAAGAAGTCTCTATTGTTAGGCACTGACTGACCCCTGACTGATCTGATACAGAAGGACAATTACAGCCTTCATGGCATCAGGAAGCCGGGAAATTAGCCATGATTAGGCCCTGTGAAGTGTGGGACCACAGGGAGAGACGGGGAAGGGCTGCTAATTAATCTTAGGCCAAGTCTTTAAATTGCAGACTCTGGGGCCAGCTGTTAAGTCACAGTCTAAGACGCAAATATGGCTCCTGATAATAGAAGGCACTCAAAACAACTAGGGGAACTGTCTCAAGTCAGAAGTGGAGAGAGGCCTCATTAATGGGAAATTAACATTCATCGCTGGGGAAAAAGGAAGCCTCCAGGCTGGGTGCCCTGAAGGACTTGCTCATCGCTGGCAGGTAGGGCTTGGGAGTTAACAGGCAGGAACAGCCCTCTCCAGGTCGTCACAGTGCACGCCGAGAAGCAAAGCATGCACAGAAGTGAGGACCGCTGGGTGTGGTCACAGCTCCAGGTTCCAAACCTCAGCCTACTGTTCTCCCTTAGTGTCTGCAGGAGCAGGTCACCTTATGTCCTCTCCGAGCTTCAATTTCTTCTGTGGCACAGTGAGGATACTTACGTACCCACAGGGTTATTGCAACGGTGGGCTGATAGATCATACGAGATTATTACCGCAGATCCATATGTATGGTACCGTGTGAAATGTTATAACGCAAGTACTTCGCAATCTCGGTGAACACGGGATTGAGGTGTATATACATACCGTAAGCCTCATCTCAGACCAAGTGAGTCAGAATCTCTGGGGGTGGGACCTGAGCATCTCAAGCAACCCGAATGTGCATGGAGGTTGAGACCTATTGGTCCCAGGTAAGGCTGAGTAACCACAGGGGAAGGTAGAAAGGCTATTTGGGCAAGAACACTGAATTCAGAGCAACAGATCTGGATTTGAGTCTTGATTCTGCCACTCCCTTAGTGGTTGACCTTGGAAAGCTCACTTAACTTTTCTGAGCTTTCACGTCTTCAGCATCCTTAAAAGGACGACATTGGAGATTACCTTATAGGTCTGCTGAGCAGGCAAAGGAGAAAAGTCACATGGGAGCTCAGCTTATGCCTGGTACCAGCAGGTGCTCAAAAAAGCAAGCACCTGGATCAGCAGCAACCCAAAGTGGCATCTCAGGTCTGCAGGGCAGGGGCTTTGTCTTATTCACCTTATCCCTGGCATCTAAGACCGTGCCTGGCACATCGTTAGTGCCCAGGGAAAAACAGCTGCATGACTACATCATCACGACGGGGCCACGAGTCTGACCTGAGATGCTCCCAACAGGGACTGGGGCCTCCCCATCCAGAAGGGAGGATCACGGCATAGAGAGGGCTGGAGGGTCCTGAGGCCAGTGCCACGGGCAGAGAGGGCACCACAGACTCACCCCCTGCCCGTGGGGACTCTGAACCCTCTGATTATGTTTCTGCTCTCACAGTGACCCTGCTCCTTATTCTAAAGTGTGGGCTGGGGCCACTGTCTTGACTCTGCCCGGGGTTTCCAGACCTGGTGCCATCCTCGGCGCTGGACTTTGCTGGGGGCCGTCCGTGAATTGCGTCTTAAAGCATCTTCAGCTTCTCGAAACAGGGTTCTTCGTCCGCAATCTGCACCAGAGGTGAGGGAAGGAGACTTGGTGAGGCACTGCAGACGAGCCCACACAGATGATGGTTTTGTAATTGCACCTATAATGTATGTCTGGATGCCCAAAGTCTCGTATGTGAAGCTATTCGCTTTTGTGGCACCATTTGTAGCCACAGGGCATCAGAAAACAAGCTCAGTGCCCAACAAAAAGGGGTGGGGAAAGAACCTACTGTACAGCCCAGTATTAAATACAGACTCAATACCTATAATGAAAAGACTCTGAAAAAGAGTATGTATACAACTGAATCACTTTGCTGTACACCTGAAACACAAAATTGTACATCAACTATGCTTCAATAAAATTTTTTTAAAGGGATGTGGAATCAGTCACAGCACCTCTGTGCTATGGAACAGTAGGTATAATAATGGGCAGCTGAATCGGGCAGGCCTAGAGACAAAAAGAGCAATCTCCAAGACGCAGAAGCAGGGTACAGGGCAGTGTGCACAACAGGGCAGCATTTGTATAAAAGAGGGGCACGGGGGGAGAGGTTTGCTGAATGAGTAAACGTACTGCTGGAGCCTAAGTATGGAGACTACTGTTATCTGCCCCTCCCTGCAACCTGGACCAGGAAAGACCTGCTTCTCCTAACTGGCAGCAGGTCAGCCCAGCCTGTCCTCCATGAAAGCTAGGAGACTCCATCCCATTTCCTTTTCCACCCTGGAGGCTAGGAAACTCATGCTAAACTCCAAACTAAAATGCAGTGGCTCTGCTAGGAGAAGGTTTGGAGATATCACTTTTTCCTTTTATCTCCTTCTTGTTTTGATTTTTACTATCTATTAATGGCTTGGGATCTTACTATGTGTGTGAGGTAATGAATGAAAATACAAATCAAGGTTATTGTGTGCTGGACATTTTACATGTCTTATGTCATTTAATCTTCCTGAGATGCCTGCAAAGTGGGCATAATTATTCCCAATGTACAGAAGATGAAACTGAGGGTCAGTGAGGATCCAACTTCTAGAGGTCCCAAAGCTAAAAAGTGGCAGAACATGGTTCAAACTCAGCTCTGCCTTGTTCCAAATCCTCTTCTGCTAACTCAGTAGCACACTGGCCTCTCAGACTAAGAGGCCTGCCCTGAACTGCCTGGAACTCTAGGCATAGGAACCCTCATTAGTCTCATTTTAAAGATGAAGAAAGATGAGACGGCTTCCTCAAACTTCCTTAAATTACTGGCACGTGAGATGCAGGAAATTAAAAAACCAGGAATTTACTGCTCTGGCCACCTTTGCCCTGGAATCACGGAGGCCAAGACTAGTTTAAAAAGAGGTGAAAAGGGTTTCTGTCTCTTTCTCACTCTCATGCTCTCCCTTTCTGGCCAGGTGGGTATGGCTAACTGGTATAGGTTAACATATAGTTTATGTGCTTAGGCTGTGGCGCCACTGTCCCTAATTAGTTAGCAGAGCTGTTGCTGGGCCTGGCGTGGCCTGAGCTCACCGTGAGTCCCCTCGGTGTGGGAGGCACTTCTGGAGAAGTCAGCGTGGACAGCTTTCCGAGGTGAGGTCTTCAGCTCAGAATTGGCCCCGTTGACGTAGACAGAGAACCCCTGTTCCAGGTGCTCTAGCCTCAATTGCGTGGGGTCCTTGGTTTTCAAATGCTTTAATATCCTGGAAGAGAAATGATTGCTTGCTCCTCAGGCCAGGAGCCTGGGCCGCCGCCCAGCCCCCTGCGGGGAGGGGCCCGCTGTTCCGACAGACAGCGAAGCCCCTCTAATCAGAGGCCTGATGGTGGATGCCCAGCCCTAAGAGGCCCATCAGACACGTGAAGAAGCAGCGAGGAGGCACCTGTCCCTGCCCCGTGGCGGATGAGACAAAGCAGGCGTGTGAGTACGCGGTTCCCACATAGCATGGATTTCCTGGGACGATCCCAATTTCACTCATCTCTCCTCGGCGTGGACTGCGGCACTTGGCTGCATGTGTAACAAAACGTGCTTTAGGGTCTAATCTCTGTGAGAGAGAGGTTGCGTGTCACACATCCGCACATCAGGAAACAGTGCTCATCAGGCCAGGCGGACTGATTTTTTGCTTCGGTAAATAAACCTGTTCTCAAACACTCACCCCCGATATCCCAAATGTCATCATTTTATATTCTGATGCAGTTTAAAGATATACTAATGTAGGCTCTGTTCAAGATTAATGATGAGATTATCAGACCCTTTGGCTAAAAGGGTCTTGGCATCAGTATGGCTGGGTCTCCTTCAGCTTTCTCTAAAGTCCAGTCTCATACCTCAGCTTGGTCCCTACCTCACCTTTGATATTCATTGCCATAAACAGTCTGTGGTGTCCTCTTCAGCCCCTCCAGAACCACTCCCATCTGACGCCAAACCCTTCTATGCCTTTACAAATGCCTGTACACACCCCAACACCAATCAGATTTACTTCCACGTAAGAGGAAAGAAATACAACCAATCGACCATCGTGGCAACAAATGAGCATCCTGTTCAGTGATTAAATAAGCTCCTACCAAATTAACAGAATGTAAATTTTTTTAAAAATCGTAATAGTAATCAGATAAAGGGTATGGACCATGGGCCAAACTGTTTGAAATGCTTTACATACAGTCAATTCTCATTATTCACAGTAGGTATGTTCTAGAAAGTGGCCACAAAGAATTAGTGAAAACTGAACCATTGTTCCTAGGGGGATAAATAGGATTTGGTTCCTGGGAGCCTCTGGTCACAGCATTTCCATCAACTGATCGATACAAAACCTTGCTTTATGTGTGTTTCTGTTTAAAGGCGCTTTATGTAATGTATACTTAGTACATTAACACTGAACTCACACCAGCTCCAACTCATGCCTGAATGAAGCTTATATAACATGTGTATTTTCTCCGTAAAGGACATCGTAGCCTTCTTGAGCTTAGGAACACGAGACAAAGCTTCAGCGCTATGCCTGGGGAGGGGGGACGGGGTGGCAGTTTAAGTAGCAAAATCACCAAGGAAAAGCACGAAAATGTGAAAAACAAAGCACTAGGTATATTACAAAAGGGACACTTTACAACGTAAGAGATGAAACAAGAAAGCAGAATATTCCGTTATTCTACCTCAACTAGGAATGTGTGTGCTAGGCATCTGAAATGTTTTCCCATCTCCACGTGTCTTGGAGTGACTGCAAAAGCACCACAGGTACTGATTTGGGGGTTACAAATAAATTTCAGTGAGTGGGTAAATTCGTAAATACGGAATCTATGACTAATAAAGATTGACTGTATTAAGACTTTAATCTTTACAACAACCCTGTGGGATAATCACGTTTATTATCCTCACTTAATAGATCAGGAAACTGGAGCACAGAGAGGTTAAGTAATTTGCCCAAGGTCACACCGCTAGTATGGTGGTAGGGCTAGGATGCAAACTGTAGTAACTTAGCTCTGGAGTCTTTACCACAACAAAGACAGTTTCTAATTTCTAATTTGCAAATTGAAACTGGCAAACTTAGACATCACTGGAAACTCAGAGAATCTTCTCAGAAGGAGTATGAAAATATAGAAAATGCCATATGCTTGGTCTTGGCCCAGTAAGCCAGTTGTCTCTGATCAAGAACAACGGTCATCATTCAGTCATAGCAAACCCATGAAAGTAACCCAAATGTCCGACATTGGGGAAGCAGAACCTGGGATCTCAGACAGCCATTGTAATTACCAGAAGTCTGTCGAAACACAGGGGATTGACTGTGATCTGTTCCATGGGGGTTGAGAAAGGCAGGATAAAAATGGTACATATGTGGTTAAGTGCAAATTTGGAAAACAGCGTGTTTGTGGACCCAGAGTGGAAGGTGATAAATGTGAAAACGAAATCAGTTGAGGTAGGGTGGTGGCATTATGGGTGATTTCTTTGTTTGCTTTCTAAATGTTTCTTTCGCAGTTGATACATCCATCTTTTCAACAATCGTGGCAGGAACATTTATTACAGACTGCTTATCTCTTGCCAGCCTCAGAAGCCTGGGAGATGCCTGATTGTTGGGCAACAGCAGAAAACAGAAGGAAAACACAAGTAACTAAGAGACAATTTCCAAACACAGCAATGGCTGCATTCTCTGGAGGAAACAGTCCAAGGGTGCAGTAGGTACCAGCAGTCTCCGTGGAGAAAGAATAGGGAGCCCGGCCCTTGGAGGCCCTGAGATGGGCAGCAGGTGGAAAATCTGACCACCCAGCCAGAGAGCACCTGCCTCAACTTCCTTCCAGAGACCACCCTGTCCCCTGATGCTACCTTAAAGGTCACAGTGGCATCCTATTACCCAGGATCTGCAGCTGGCGCTCCACACGGGCCTCTCTTTAAGCAGGGTGATTTATGAAAATGTGGATTTATGAAACTGATAAATGAGGAGATAATTATTCAGACTGTGAAAGGAATCACTAAAGGAACTCCCCTACTGCAGCTGAGTGCATCAGTAATAAGCACGTGGCATCAGAAAAAAGGGGATTTTTTAAATGGGTAGCCTAATTTGCATAAAAAGCTGCACTAGGTGTTGGGGATTCAGAAAAATCAGATTCAGTCACTGCCCTATTGGAGATGGAGCCCCGTCCTGCTGCCGCCCAGTCGCTCTCTATTCCCTTATGGATTCTGTTTGTTTCATAGCACGTATCTCCCTGCCCCACGCTACAGTACAGTGTCTGCCTGCCTGTTCATTCTCCCTTCCTGCCCACCAGAATGTGAGCCCTTGGGCACAGGGTCTGTGCTGAGTGTGAGGAACACTCTCAATACCTATTTCTGGAACTCAAGGTCTAGCAGGGGAGAGAAGGCATGGACACGCATCCTAATACAGCAACTGACTATCTAACCACAACACAGGCATCACTTCCGTTTATCCCGTAGTGACCTTCGGGGTCACCTGCACAGAGAGCTCTTTTGTACAGAAGAGGAAGTGGAAGCACAGTGAGTTAGAGCACAGGGTATCACGAGGGAGCGTGACCGGGGACATGAGAGGCTTGGCGGCTGGGTTCTTGGCACCAGCACGGACCCAGGTGGTGAGAGGACTTAGCTGAGCTCAAAGAGTGGGAGGCGTGTTGCTCATAGACTTAATTGTGACCAGGTTTGTGACTGAACTGTCTGAGACCCCGAGCACTGTGGCTGCTGTGTGACTGTGGGCTAGCTACGTGGCTCCTCTGAACCTCAGTTACCCTAAGGGTCAACTGAGGGGTTCTCTAAGGGTCACGCATTCAAGCGTTATCTGGATGTCAGCTCACTCTGAGAAGGTGTGTTTAGCATTAAAATTATGATGTTGATGATGATAGTGATGATGACGACGGAGGAAGGACGCTGGGACGGGTGGGCTTACTGAGGACTTTCAAGCACCTTGTCATGCTTAATCCTTCACTGGCCTGGGGGTTCAGTTCCTACCACGGGCCTGTTTTATAGACGAACTTGCCCAAGGTCAGAGAGCTGAGGAAGCAGCCGGGATTTAAATTCCAGCCCACGAGGCTCCAGAGCCAGTCTCCCGGTCATGCGATTCCACCGTTTGTCTCCTCACCAGGCAGCACACCACAGGGGCTCCAAGCAAGGAGAGTTCAGGGGAGAAGCAGTGGTTCCCAGGTGAGGACTTCTTGGAGGTGGCATTTGAGTGAAGTGTGGAGAAGCAGAGGGCAGTGGTACAAAGAGCCTGCCATTCCTCCCAGAACCTCGTGGCCCACAGCTGCTGGTATCTGTCCTCTGGGATGTCACCTCCCGCCATCCGTGCAGGTGGAGGCTGTGTAGTGCGGGGGAGGGAGCTTCGTACTGGAGGCTCTGCCATCTCCCAGCTTTCGTGACCTTGGACAAGTCCCTACACTTCCTGGGGCCTGTTTGTTCTTCTGTAAGATGCCTCCAGCTCTTTGGGCAGTCATGAGGACGGAATGGGGAACCACTTGAAGCTCTAGCTCAGAGAGTTGCCTAGACAAGGCCCTCACTCGGTGTTGGTTCTCCCCTTCCTTCTTCCTACCTGAATCTCCCCTGGGGCAGTGGGTTCATCTCTTATATGGGTACCTATAAGTTTCCCTCGAACAACCTTTTTCAAAAAACAAATAATATCATTGCTGGCTTCTTAGACCTGCCACCATCTAGAAGTGTATATTATAGCCCCTCTCGGCTGTTAGCTCTTAACGGTTCCTCGTAGCTCAGCCCTTTGATCACTCTGGTTGCTTTCTTGTGAGTCCTGTTGGGCATGATTACATCTTTCATGAAGCTGAGTGACCAGAATCGCTAAGCATCCTCTTGGCGAGGGTTGCATCTGGGTGAACCCGCCCTGCCACATCTTCCCTGCTCTCCCCAGTCCTCTCCTGGAGCATGTGGTCACTATCCGCTTCTTCTGGCATAATCATAGGTGGTCCTGTGCTCACCTGCCGTTCCTGGGGGCATTTCGAGGGCCAGGGCTGAGCGGTGGCCCCTGTTCTCTTTGCCTGTCCAGCAACTCTCCCCCAGCTTCCAACACAGCCCTCAGATTCCCCTGGGGAACTGCCCTACTCCTTCTTTTAGTCCATGTGGCTTGGGTGAGGCTCACCCCACTTAATAGGGTGGACAGGCAGACCCTGCCACCTCCCCAGGCATGGGGGCAGTTGACTCAGGGATGGGAACCGGGCCCCAGCCAGACCAACGGGAGCCCTCCTCAGTACTGTTGCTGAAACTATTAGGAAAGACGTGTTCTCTTTGCCTAGAGGTGGGATGTGAGTGTGGGGTTTCCAGTGGCTGCCTTGGCCTCTGTGAGGGAAATAACTGCCTGAGATGATTCCAACATGGGAAAACAGAATTGAGAGATGGAGAATGACTGATTTTGGTGACCCAGTTTGAATACCTGGATCTAGCTAGGCCTGAAGCCAGAGTATCATCCTGGATTTGTTAATTTCATAAGCCAATAAGTTGCCTTGTTTAAAGTCCATTGACCTTGGGTTCCTGTCCCTTCAACCAAAGGAACACTAACTAATACAGCCTGCGTCTCCCTCATTGAAATGTTGCCCTTCATACTAGTGGTAATGCAAGGTGCTGAGAAGGTCCTTGATGAATCCTGCTGAATGAGTAAAAGAATAAGGCCACCAGCATCTCGTGGGCAACAGTGTTCTGGGCAGATCTCTAAGAACTCACTCGAGTGTTTGCACACCCCCTTCTTGGGTTACAAGGCCACCCAGATGAGCAGCCCGGGTTTTCATCCCCCTCTTCGCCCAGTACACAGCTCAGAGGTGGTTTTCTACCCAGTCTTATAACTAGATTCCCAATGCAAGTGCAGTTGATTCCCCCAAACCCCTCTGTAGTGAATTTAGAGTCACTGACAACCCTGGCAGGTCTCCCTCCTGATTTTTGATGACAGTTTCAAACAAAATATAAGTCAGACAGTACAGCCCAGCTCTACCACTTCCTGGCTGCATGACCCGGGGCAAATTGCTCTCTGTCCTGGGTCTCCACTTACTTATCTGTCAAATGGGTACAAGACCTGTACCGACCTCATCAGGGAGAGTGAAGATAAAACAAAATGATGGGGGCGAGTTACCTGGCATGTGGCTGGCGCTCCAGAAAAGGTGTCTTTCCCAGCTTGACCTGATGACAGCTCAGAGGCACTCCCTCCCTGCCTATGTCTCCATTTGGAGGTGTTTCTTTCCGGTTCTACCTTCTAATTTCCTGTCATCAAGCCAGCTCCCTCTCAGTGGCATGGCCCCCAAATTTTATGACAGCTCTGTTTTGACATATTTTTTAATTGCCTTTGTGCTGCAACCTCGTCTCTGGAGAGTCTCATCTGTGCTATCGGCCGGCGCCTCTTTGATCCCACATGTATTGATCCCCCGATTAATGAGAAGCAATTTGCTCAGAAGGAACTATGACACTCTCCTCCCAGACAAGTCGTATGTAGATGATTCAGTGATCGCCCAGGTGTTCAGTGGCACCATCCGGCCTGCCAGAAACTGAATAAAAACATCCTGCCCCATGGCATTAATGATGATAAAAACCCACACTGGTCTAATCAGCACAAGCCTTGGCTGGAGGTCACCCCTGGGATGGAGGGAGATGAGTGCAGAGCAGCTGGGCACATGAGATGTTGCCTGGCACATCTGGCTGGTCCTGGAGAGTTTATTTATTCAGAGGTTCTGAAAACTGTGGGTGGGAACACCTCACTGGGAGGCGTCTGGAACGTACACAGGTACTGGGGGGCCTTAGTGGAATTTAGTAAAGCGGCGGGTAGGCAGGGATGCTGAAGTCTTACAACGCATGGGACAATCCTACACCATAAACACTTGCTCCAGGTGACATGCCACCAGGGCCCCAGTTGACAAGCACTGGTAATCCAGCCCATCAGACAAGGGCTGAATCCACATTCAGTATAACAACCCTCAGACTCTCTGCCTGTAAGACCTCCAGCCCGCTCACATAACACAAAGGCCCAAATTAGTACTCCCCTCCTTCCCCCTCCTGCAGATCTGTCTGGGGGCCCTGCAGATTTCTTCTGTTTGTTTTGTGCTTTAATTTGAATTCATTACCAACATCTTAAAACTTAGGAGATTTTGCAGCACAGATCCAGATTTCCAGCTTCTCCGGCAACCTTGGAGGATACGGCCCCCCTGGGCCTGTGTTCCCACAAGCAGTAACTGGCATGAGGTGAGCAGTTTGGATCTGAGAGTTCCAGGTGCCCCCTGTCCCCACCCAGCCAGCTTCACTCACTGCCCGGCCCCTCCAAGCACCTGAGTCTGCAAACCCAGCTTTCGGCAAGGTCCTAGGCTAGGAGACAAACCACAGTGAACTGAAAATGAACATCCACAGCCCTGCAAAGGCACTGAAGACACGATACCGCTTTCAAACCAGACCACCGGCTTTGACCTCAGCCTGCATCGGCTGCAGGCTTCTGGAAGAACCAGCACTCCGGAGTCAAAATCAGGACTGACTTAACTTTAAATGACATCGACCAACTTCAAACAGAAATGTAACACAGCTCCATCTTTACATAACAAGGCATGATTACAGGCTCAGATTTCAAGGGACCTTCAAAGCCTGTGCGATCACAGCCTGGGCCATTCAGGTGACTCAGGCATGGGCCCTGCCAAATTCCAGCTTTTCATGACAAACCCACCCTCTCCCAGAACAGAAGCAGGGAGGCAAGGGGCGGTCCTTACCCGTGGAACAGTTTGCTACAGCCCAATCAAAAGATGTAATTAAACTGGTGAATGGAGAAATAAGAGCTGGGATTGCAGAGATGAATCCACGCCTGCGAGTGGAGGGTGACTGCATCCCATTCTGAGGTGAAACAGGGCCTGCGTGCTGTTAATAAATCTAAACAGGATTTTTATTTGGCTAATATGAAGGGCTGCCGTCAAGGGGCTGCATCTTACCGGTTTCTCTGCTGAAGCAATATTAAATACTCATCATGCTTCTCATCAAAGTCTGTCACCATGTCCTTAGTGCAACCCTGCAATGAAGAAACAGAGCGATGTGACATTGGAATGCAGAGGCAGCACTGACTGAGGCCGGGGGACGGCACACACCGCACAGGAGGTGGAGAGGCAGAGGCTGACCTTGACAGCAGCCCGGCTCCCTGGGCGCATCACTCTGGTGACTCAGAGCCCAAGAGACTGTCTGACGGCCCAGTGGGTCTTGAACATACACCACTAACGATCTACGAAGAGGAGAAGATTCCCCAGTCGTGCCACTGTTCACCCCTCCCAGGCCCTACACAATCAAGGGCTCTGACAAGATGTGGGCCTCACTGTTTTCTCCACACTCCAGATTTTGTTCTCTCAGTTGTCCTAACCAGGTGTAGCCCAAATCAGTTGTTGAAGAGAGGATCTCACTTTTCTCTGGCCATTATAAGAGAAATGCACGCTTATTATAAACGACTCAGTCATTACAAAAATCTATGACACAGAGTAACACCCTCTAATGAAAAAGAATATAGAAAGCAATATATGTATGTATTGGGGTGACTGAAACATTACGTGTACACCAGAAATTGACACAACGTTGTAAACTGACTATACTTCAATTAAAAAAAAAGCCAAAAAACCCCCAAAAACCAAAAAACTATGACCCAGAGAGTGAAGATCCCTTTAAAGCAGACATTCAGGGTTTTGTGACTCCTCTTCTGGCCACAGAACTCTGGATTTCTTTGAACCATTCTGCCCCTTCTTTTAGTTCACTGGCTCCCTTAGATGCCCTTGAAGGCTCCTTTGGTCTCCTCTTGTGTCACATGACCTTGGCCTTGGTCTCACTCATCAACACAGTACTTCCTCCAGCTACAATGACTCATGGGTCTACTGATGAGCCATGGCTTGAGCCCGGACCTTGAAATTCAGCCCTGGGACTTTGCTGAGACTCCTGGGGAAAGCTCTTCTCTTTCCACTGGGGTGCTAAGCTGATGAGATACAAACCTGGAATTGCCTGAGAATGAAGTCAAGAAAGAAGACAGCAGATCCCAGAGATGGAGAAAGAGAGATTCCTAATGACATAATTTGAGCCCCTGGATCTACCCATGCCTGAAGAAGTCTCTGGACAATTTACTTATTGCTTTAAAGTTTCAGCTGAGTTTCTGTCATTTGTAGCCAAAAGAATTAAGTCATATACCACGAACTAATCATTAGAGATAACCCTTATTAGAATTTTGTACAGCTTTAGGAGGGATAATAAGTGTATAATAAACTATACACATTAAAAGTGACATATGTATATACCACTAAAACCCCCTTTATAATTTCATATTCCTCTAGATGTTTTTGTTTGTAATATACATATATACGCATTTATAAATACACACACAAACACATGTTCCTTTAAACAAAAATAGGATCATACTATAAACGATGCTTTGCAATTTTCAATGTTTCTTAAATAACTTTTTGCCAAGGAATGGATTAAAGAGACAAAGTCAGCTGCAGTCTAGTCACAAGTCACAGGATTAAGCGTTAAGTGGCAAGTAAGACATTTGGAATAGAAACACAATTTGTGTGAAAATCCTAACGATTATCAGAGGGAGAAGAAAAAAAAAAGAATCTTCGTCATTCTCTTCTTAGCTTCTCAAAATCTGGCTTTAACCCCATTAATCTACCAGAACTCTCCCCAAGGGTGACCCATAACCTCCTTAAGCAAATATAATAGGTCTTCCCAGCTTCTACTTTTCAGTTGCTCCGGGCTATGGGGAGATGCTGACCACCCGTCCGTCATCCCCAAACGCTCCCCTTTCTTAGCTTCTGCAGTTCTGAATGAGCCCGCCTTCCCTCCTGTCCTTCTCTGGCTGCCTCTTCCCCTTGGCCTCAGATGTGGATGGTCACTATTTCTGCCCATCTCACCTCTCTGGGTCTCTCTCCCTCTGTCTTCGCTTCTCCTTCCCATTACAAGGACACCCCCCCCATAGGGAAGACGGAGTCACTGCTGGTCCACAGCTGACAGCCCAGTTCCCTTCTCTTCTCTTTTCCCATAGGACTCCATCTGCTTCCCCCTTTCTCTGTCACCCACACTTATCCTCCCAGGCCCCCCTCTCTCTGGGCCACTTGGGGACAGAATGCAGTACTCCCATCTTCTCCCCTATCCTGATGTCTCTGAAGCCTCTGAGTCTTACTGGGGTTTTTCTGCTGGCTAATCTGGCCAACCAGGAAGTGGGAAATAAGAAGAAAGGATGATATTATAAAAATCATAAGAAATTTAAACAAACCAGCAATAGGCATTTCTATTCCTAGTTTCCTGGCTTCCTGAGATGCCCAGAGGCATCCTTTTGTCTTCCCCGAGACTGAGCCCTGCCTCACCTTGAAGACAGCTGGTTAGTTACGAGACACCTGGTCTGGAGAGGATCCTCAGTTCCTTCCAGAACAACAAGTGTATGATGTGGATAGTTTACGCAGCATTTCCATATACATGATTCTCCTTTGATCTTCGCAGCAGCCCTTGAAGTAGTTATTATTACCTCATTTAAGATACAAGGAAACCCATCCCACGTATCTTCCGGGAACACGGATCTTACTCCATGGCAATTTACATAACCATTTTGAGATATTAAAATGACCACTGATATATTACGGTATGGAATGAAACATTCAATGACATTTTTAGATGAAATAGGAGACTTCAAAGAGATCTCAGCTTGTGGTGGGCTGCCCTGGGTTTTCACCTCAAACCCTCTGGGAATGCATTTATTCGCCTCTACCAGGAGGGAGATGTCACTGGAAAGAGCGCAGGCATGTATCTAGCCAAACTTCTCACCAGCTCCGTGCTTCGGAAATGCTGATGCACTCTCAAATAACCGGGGATTGCGCTGAAATGCAGGTTCGGGTTCAGTAAGTCTGGGGAGGGGCCTGAGCCTACATTTCTAACAAGCTCCCAGGCGATGTCCACAGGCCCCTTTGCAAGGCCCTAAACCAGCCCATCTTATTCTCCACTATTCACAGTACATCCACCTCTACCCAGATCGGCTCTGAACTTGAGCTGAGAAGATAGTGAGCTCTGGAGTCCAGGTCTGGCTCCACGTCACAACAGAGCCATTAGTTTCCTTGTCTGTCAAATGTAGGTAGTAACAGTACTTGTCCTTGCTGGGTCTTTTTTTCCCTCATAGGGTCAAATGCGGATTGGATGCAATAACAATAAAAAGGCACACAGTACCAGGCACTTGGGTAGTTCCCAATGGAAGTCAGTTATATTTACACTTACGTACTATCCTAGCTCCTCCCCGCCCCTACCCAGCCCATTCCTGTCCTGATGTCTTAACTCATTCTTTTCCTTTTCCCTCCAGCCTCCACCCAAATCCTCTCCAAGGCCCAGCTCAGCTCCCAAAGTCTCCCTGCTGCAGCCTTCCCTTGCCATTCTCAGCTCCGCTCACTTCAGCTCATTCTGAAACCCTGCAATTAGTATTAAATTATATACAATACAGGGTGAAATCGTATATAATTGAGTGCTACGTTGTAAGCCTTTAACTGTATATATTGCTCGCTCATTATCTGGGGATTTGGAGACTGAGGGGTGAGTCCTGAACTCTCCTACTTACCTTCTCTGAGCCTCAGTTTCCTCGTCTGTAAAAAGGAGATATTAATAAGGTCTCCCTCCCCGGGCTGCTCTAAGGATTAACAAGGAGAAGAGTGGAAGTAATTCAGGATCCTTTTCTTTCTTCTACTTACTAATCCCCTCGCCGGATTATAAACTCCTGGAGCTCAGAACTGTGGGGGAAGGAGGGGAACATCCTGTGGTGAGCCTGGAGTCCAGGGCTCTAGTCCTAGCTCCATCATCACCCATGTCCGTGGTGATAACTGCTAGGATTGCTTAAAGCACCCGCCAGGTTGACCCTCAGACACCACCTTTCCCCGGCACAGCACACTTGACTTTGCTTAGAGTTTACTTCTCTAGCTATAAAACAGAGGCATTAATTAATACTAAAGCCAATCCACACAGGTGGGAGAACCTTATAAAGTGCCAAGTGTATCATCACTGTCTTTCAGCAAACATTTATCAAGTGCTTACTGTGTGGCTGTTACACTTGTGATGAGGGTTAAACCAAAAACTCTGATATCAGCTTGGTGTAGGCTGAACCCACCCACCAGTCAGGGCCGATCTGCACAGCTCTGCCTCCACTCCTATTGTGTGTGGTATGAATGGCTGCTGGTGTGCAATCAGTCAAGCAAACACACCCTGGCCAGGGGTCCTGAAACGGGGGTGGGGGGGGGTGGCCCGCAGTGGGTCCTGGGAACACCCATTCAATTGAACGCAGAAGGGTATTTTTCTGTGAAGAGAGTCCCTGTAACTTTCATCAGATGATCAAGGGCATCTGAGACCAAAAAAAAGGAGACAAATGATTATAATAAAATGCACAACATGTGACACCAAGGATCTGCATGAGGGAACTAGGAAGGCTCCTGAGGATACGGCCAGATCCAAATCCTTGGGAGTCATCGTCGAAGCCTGACTCACTAACTCACTCACCCACTCCACATCCAGCCCACCAGCTCCATGTGAAAAATATCGTATCTCCAAAACCCAACTACGTCTTCCCGCCTGCCCATGACCACACTGGTTCGGGAGAACCTCCCTGGTCTCCTGCTCCTGCCCTCACCCCTGCAGTCTGTTCTCACTGTTACAGCCCAGGGTCCTACGGACTTCGAATCATGGCGCCCCTCTGCCCTGGACTCTGCCCGCATCCCAGCAGCCACCGGGCCCTATGCACTGGGCCTTCACTCACATCTCTGACCACCTTCCACCTCTTCCTCACTCCAGAACCTCAGCACTCAGCATGCGCCCACCTCAGAGCCTTTGACTCACCACTCCTGCCGGAGTGCCCTTCTCCCAGGTAAACACTCAGATTCCTCACTCCTTCAAGGCTTGCCTCAGATCTTCCCTTCTTGGGGAAGTCCTCCCCAGCCACTCTATTTAAAATTGCAAACTATGCAAAGGAAGCCATAAACAAAATGAAAAGACAATATACAAACTGGGAGAAAA